ATTTAATTTATCGCGAGAAAAACTATGTCTGTAGTGATATCAGGTGCGCTGATTGATGGCGCAGGCATCCCCATGTCCGGATGCCACATAATTCTGAAATCCCGGGTAAACACCTCAGAGGTGGTGATGCGCACAGTTGCCGACGTGGTGACAGGAAACTGTGGCGAGTACTGTTTTGAGGCGCAGACCGGAAAATATTGCGTATATCTGAAACAGGGCTGGCGCGACGAGTACTGTGTTGGCGATATTGCTGTATACGACGACTCAAAGCCCGGCACGCTGAATGATTTTCTGACAGCCCCCGATGAAGGCGACCTGAAGCCGGATGTAGTGAAACGCTTTGAGGAAATGGTGGCGCAGGCGCAGCAGAGCGCGGAAACGGCAACAGAAAGCGAACGACAGGCAGGGCAACATGCAGACGCTGCCGCCCGGGCAAAAGAAGATGTAAAAAAACTGGTGGAAGGTGTTCAGCAGAACGCCGACGCGGTTGCGGAGGGTAAACAACAGGCCGAAAATCTGGTCTCACGGGTTGAGGATACCGCCGCAGAGGTCAGGCAGGACGCTGAAGCCGCGAAAAAGGCCGCATCTGATGCAGAGCATGTCAGGGAGGATATTGATACTGCGTTATCTGCGACACTGAAAACGGCGAATCGTTTATCAGAGCTGGCTGATGAAGGTGAAGAGGCTCAGCAGGAATCCCGTGATAATCTTGGACTGAAAAGCGCTGCCACAATGACGCCACAGAGCGACATTCGTGACCGGACTGAAGGGCGTCTGGCGACACCTGGCGCATTTGGTTTTGGGCATATTTTTTTGCCCGCAGAGCGTATCCGTTTTAACACAGGGGATGATTTTCTGTCCTGGGTAAGGAATGCGACGCCGGGTGAATATTTTGTTGAGGGTGACAGTAAAATCATATCCGGAGGTGTGTTGTTTAACGGGATGGTCCGCATCCGGTGGGTTGAGGCACGCAATAATCCACCGGAGCCGCGATATACAGCAAAGGCCATTATTTTCTACGGTATTAATGGCGATGTTTATTACAACCGCTACTGGACAACAGGTAA